CAGTTGGGTATCACAAAATTTTCTAAGGAAATACGCCTAAACATATTTCTACGACGTAAAAAAATGGGGATTTTTATGACATTTGACAACAGCATTATCTATATATTAATACGTGAAGCAAAAACTTTGTATCCCTTTTTACGAAAATTGCGCGGACGGAGGAGTATGAAATTTTCCACACTTATAGAGAATATAGAGAAGAAATGCACAATGCTAATATTTTTTTAGAACAATGCATAAAAGATACATTAAATCAATAAAGAAAACATTACACACACTGCATGCCATGTATTTGACGCACACACGCATGCATACTATAATTTATTGTCAAACTTGTGTTCTTGACGTTTGTGGTCAAATTGAGAATAGATTAAATATTGTTTGTCTTTATTAATATTTTTTATAGAGTAGCCTTGGCGAAATTTGTGATTATAGAAGTATAAAATACAATCATAATAGTGTACAAACTTATTATACAATTCCAATTAATTATAGTCGAATTTCGACTACTGCGGGACCTCTAGTAAGTTGAATTATCCAATTTCAATTTGACTTTCACTATGAAGGTACATACAACGTTGTGTAATAAAAATCAATCGCACAAAATAAATCTCGTGGGCTGTGGTCGTAAAATTATACTACGCCTATTCAAATAACGATAGCAACCGTTTTTTAAAAACATTGATGTAATATTTATGAGTAATTGTTAAATTGTGGTTGTTCAAGTTTATCAGCAGCGTTATCAACACGCAACCAACATAGATGTGCAACGTCGAATAGAATAAATCTGACCAAGCCTGAATCACATTGACTATCATATCTGACCCAGGCGATGGGGCAAAGCAAAGCTATCGTAGCCCGAAACACGTCTTGACACGTTCGCGTGAACAACGGCTTACAACGTCGTTTTTAAAATTATGAAATGGCGCAACGTCATATGACGGCCTCTAGATTATCATATTTATTCTGTTCGAACGTCTTTGGACGTCTATTTTATGGGCAGATTCATATAGAGCATCTACTTAGCGCCGCAACACATTCAATTTTCATAGCCTGAACCGCCGCGTTCCCTAAAAAAATCATCATAATATGATGTACGTATTAGGGCGAGACGTTTTTAGACGTTGCTAAACTTTGTATGGGAAAAAGGTGCGCCACAGTAGCAATATTCAGAAATGAGGAGGGTCACGCGAACGTGATAACAGATACCCCAGAACTCAGAACCACTTTCGGTGCTTTGAGGCTCTTCAAGCAACTGTCGTCGTCACAGATCATAGAAACACATCACACATGTTTCTATGATCTATGGTCGTCGTTCTTGTCAAACTTGTCGAGAGTTTGACGAGCGAACTAACCCATAGACACAGCCCACTGAGTTTCTCACCGGACCTTCTCAGTGAATCGGAATCCGATGGTAGATTCTGCGAAAGACTGCTGTTACTGATGCCAGTTTTAGCTAATTCTCTCAGACTTAGCCCCGTGAGCTAACCTACCAGTCATAGCGCAGCTGAAATAGCCCTTTAGACTTCCAGTGAATGGGCAGGAAGAAAAAAAAACTGACAATATATGGTTTCAACATATCTTGCATTGAATATGAAAGTTATTTTATTGAATTAAAGATAAAGTTCCGAGGCTCTTCGTATTGTCGGTATGCCGAGTCAAGACAGCTCCGCGGAAAATGTTTCCATTACAATAGGAATTACTATTATTAACGGTCTTCATTATATACTCAAAAAATGGATGCTTTGAGGCCGTTTACGTACGGAAATCAGTTTTCTAAATTTTCCGAATTCAATATCCCTTAAGGATAGTCCTTCATTTTGCTAGGAATAATAGAAGAATAGACATTTTCGAATTTAGGATTCGCAAGAAAAATGGCTTTGGGCTTAGTATTGGGAATATAGCTGGGGCGTACACATTCCGGAAGATATTTCATTGAAATTCTTAGCCATTTTTTTGCGTGATTGCTCAACAAACATGTAAGTTACAAATTACAAATTTTCATATTATTATTCACCTTTATGTATTACAAGTAGTATAGATAAATCAAAACATAGGTTGACAAACGTTCAACTACCTCAGTTTCAGCTTTTTAGCATCCTTATTTATTTCCATTCAAAATAAAACACTTAAGTATAAGCAGAAATAAATATATAATATAGAACATAATTGATACAAAATTGATAAAAGAAAGAAACAAAGTTTTGATATTCTAAATTTATTTAATAATGATATCCCAACTCACTAACATAAAACTACCTAATTAAAATTTATATTAACATCATCGTAATATTTACACTATGTACATATTCACACATTATTTGGTTTTCATACTACAGTCGATGGCACTAAATTATAAAATTGAACAATAACTTAGAAAATAACGTAATTACTTAACAGCACAGAACAGTATGTCAAGCGTTGAAAATAAAGAAATACTGGACAATAATTACACAACCCTTTTAGCTTAAAAACAGCCAACCGAGTAAAAAGGAAGGAATTCGATTTTTTATTTCCAATAAAACTACACAGCATTGTAAGCTTAATTTTAATATAACAATAATATTACAGTTGGTACATACCTACCATGACATGGGGTAAATTGGGATCCTGGGGTAAATTGGGACAAACCTGCGGAAGATTCTCAAAGTACCTGTAGCACGGAATCTACCTAATTTTGTTTATGTTAATATTTATCAATGTATAGAAGAAAAACCAAATTAACTATGGAAGTATTAAATATGAGTTAAGTTGGTCCCAAAAATTCGTCAAATTAAATTGAAAATAGTGGTTGAAAAGTGCGTTTTAAAACAGCTTACAGAACTTTTAAAAAAAGTAATAATATCGTTGTTTTTTTAATAAGATCACAGTTTATATAAGTTTTTAATACACCTGGAAATACCACAACAAACGGTAAGTTGCAATATTCTTATTTTAAATACATTAATTCGACAAAATAAAAAATGTATAATTTTTCCTTTCTTTTTGGGGAAAATTGGGACGTATGTAGGGTAATTTGGAACGAGACTGGAAAAATTAGGGACGAGAAAATACAAAATTGGAACGCCAAAAGACAAAATAGGGATGGCTTGTTAGGGTTGTCACTGATATCTTATAATAGATTTTTTAGCCTATACTATCACTTGATTGCGTGATGTAAAGAAGATTAATGTGTTTATCAGTTAGTTTATGTAAGTATTATAGGTAAAAGAAAAGTATATATATAATTACTTTTTTTCGCGACATTTACCTTGTAATATCTGCCCGGTCGTATATTCTTTATAGCAATAAAAAAAATTAAAAGTTAAAAGAACTCAAACGAATCAAAACTTTTGTTATTTCAGAATCTATTCACNTATACCTACTTACTTCCCATTAAAGTATAAATTCTACAAATAAATAATACTCAACAATATTTAAAATAAAATGAGCCAAGAACGTTTATCGATAAAACCTGATAACATTGAAATCTTTTGTACAGCACTAAAGCCGCCATGTTTTGTGGCCAGATGACGTCACAGTGGCATGAAATTTTGGTTGACGTTTCATTTCCATAGGTTTCCTACTTCATTGTAATTCTTTTATTAGCACAGTGTAAGCATCAGGTATGTAGTCGTGAGGAATATTCAAGGTGAAGTTTAAACGCGTGTGTGAACGAACTTTAAAATTTTCAGAAAAACATTGAATAATAGATTTGTTTCTGTCTCCAATCCTAAAATAATATTAAGTGTATTTATTATCTATGGTCTCCAGCTTGTGTCCTTTACATCGGAAAACAGCCGCGATACCACAGACGTTGGAATCATCTTTTTTTATATTTTTTTATGTCCGGTGTTGCAATCATCTTTAATGTATGTGTATAGCCTCAATTTTTTTTTCTAAATGCTAATTACGTTATTAGCTTACTTTCATTACCTAAATACCTATTTACTTAATTAATCTAATTTAAAATCACACAATGAGGTTTGCGCTAAACGATCGAAGATGTTTACGTAAAGTTTCTAATTGTTAAACGCCTCGTAATAATTCACGTTCTATACAGCGTCAATTTATTTTAATACCTACCTATTAATCAAAGTTTTTTTTTTTTTGCTTTATTCGTTAACGTGCAACGTACAACGCTTCATGCCCAAACAGCCAGATCGCGAGATATTTGTTGTTTTTTGTTTTTAACATATTCTTGGAAGTTAATTAGCGTTTGCAATTTCGCCTTTTGTGTATCGACTTTTTATTAATTTATTGTACGAAAAGCGAACGAGCTCACGGCCCGACTGGTGTTAAGCGGTTATCGGAGCCTGTGAATTTCACAATCCACATGGGACGTGATAAGGTCGGAGTCTCAATTGTATTGTATAAGAGATAACTGCTTCGCGGCAGAAATCGACAGGACGTTGGTACAGATCCGTGTGCGCTCAGACACCAGTAATTACGCCATTATAATTTTTCCGAGCTCATTTCCACAACGTTATTCCTTCAACGCCGAAGTGATTCGTGTGAATGTGTTAAGTACGTATTTCATTAGAAAAACTAGTCTATGGGATTCGAGCATCGACTTAGCCGCATCGCTCGATACGAATGCATCTGGTTAATTTAATTTCGTCAATATATCGTCTTCTCGCATTAAAACTGTATAATCTCAAAAATGACTAATTTTACAGGAGAGTGTTTTAAAGTTTTAACATGTGAGATTTTTAATATTAATCATCTTCGCAACATTTATTTTTTATTTTTTACCAGTTACATTATCTGTCTTATATAGTAAGATAAAATTATGTATTAATTTTGTTAATAGTAGTCAAAATATAGGTAAACCAAAAAAAAAACTACGCTCTTTTGACATTATCTATGAGAAAAGCACTGGTGATACTAAATGATTCCGCATATTAACTAAATTTCGAATATTTTTGGAAATTATGCATTTTTAATGCGAAAAGATGATATGTCGTTCCCCTAATTAATAAAAGATTTTAAATGCTCTTAAAGTTAGCCGAGATCCGAGGTCATAACTCAAAAGCGCCTTCCTGCTGCCCCGTCAATAGGTAGGTCCTCGTGTTGCGAGCAGTGAATATGAAAGGCGCCTGCCGCGAAGGGCAGCGGAAGGAACGCATTAAAACCGGCGGCACATTGTCAGATTTGTTGCCGACCGGCTCCAGAAGGTTGTTCCACAGGAGATTCGCCGCTGGAAGTTAACGTTCAACGGAATTAATATTAGACTCCAGTTTGTTCTTTGCACTAATGACACCATAATGGTAGGCAGCGGATTCGCTCTGCCCCTGACATTGCTGAAGTCCATGGGCGACGGTAACCACTCACCATCGGGTGGGCCGTGTGCTCGTCTGCCTACAAAGGCAATAAAAAAAACCTTTGAGATCAATCCTCATAACTCAGTCACATAACGCTTACGAAAATATTTTGCAATCCCTAAAGCATTTTTCAACACCCGACACGATAATAATATGCCTGGCATCGATATCGGAACGATTTTTTTACTAAATCGTTCTTCTTCACTAGACAGAAGCGAAACATCTTACGATTCGCTTATAAAATCCAATAACTTCTTATTATATAGTAAATAATAAAAATATAGGTTATAAGTAAACGATAATTCTTATTCGAGAACTGTCTGACTGATTATTAATAAAAGTAGATAAAAATAAACAAATATCACAAAACGATATCAAACTAAACTTCTGAAGGATTGCTTCGAAACATCACATTACAATTTCTATAATTATTTTCCATTTTTCTTCTTTACGACACATTCTTGACGGAATATAAAAGTATCTTTATGTCGTGCTAAAACCATTCGTAATCATATATGTCATTAATTGAGTAATGTTGAATAATTTGACATCTCAATTATCGTAAGAATACTTTTTGTAACTTTTTTTATTGCTTAGGTGGGTGGACGAGCTCACAGCTCACCTGGTGTTAAGTGGCTACTGGAGCCCATAGACATCTACAATGCAAATGCGCCTCCCACCTTGATATATGAGTTCTAAGGTCTCAGTATAGTTACAACGGCTGCCCTACCCTTCAAACCGAAACGCATTACTGCTTCATGGCAGAAATAGGCCGGGTGTTGGTACCTACCCGTGCGGAATTTTCTTCTCTACGACATTGTCTTATTCTTAACGGAACCTATAAAAGTATCTATATGTCAGGCTAAAACCATTCGTAATCATATATGTAATTAATTGAGTAATGTTGATTAATGTGAAATCCTAATTAACGTAAGAATATTTTTTGTAACTATTATGAAGAGAGACAATATAAAATTATGTATTAAATAAAAAGGTTAAGTAATTTACCTAAAGCGTGTCCTTTCTGCGAGAAGTGGAAGCAGTCGTGCGTGATGTAGGACTGGTGTATGACGAGGGGCAGCGGCTGCTTGGGGGGGAAGGGCGCGTTGAACAGCCTCATGAAGGGCTGCACCACCACCGTGAAGTCTTCGCGAGCGTCGTAACGACCGCTGTCCACCTGGACATCACACAGGACCAACTCTTGAGTACAGCTTTACACAGAACCGACTCTTGGGTTCATCTTTACTTTTACTAGTGGTCCCCCAGTACTCGAAAGTCGACTATGATTATCAATTTAAATTATAAGTTTGGACATTAATCTATACTAATATATAAATCTTCAGTGGTTTTTACGGATGTTCCGTTATAACTACTGAACCATGCATCAGATTGACTTGAAACTTGGTATCCACGTAGATAATACATGTACTTAATGGATAGGCTAATATTCAAACTCCTCCGTCCGCGCATTTTTCGTAAAAAAGGGTACAAAGTTTTTACTTTACGTATTAATTAATATATATATATTACAAATAGAGACAGGATTCGATTACAGGAAGAGGTAGACCTAAAAAAATGGATGGATTGCGTGAAAGACGATATGTGTAATAGGGGAGTGAGCGACGAAATTTTATAAGGAATGTGGAAGGAGAAAACATGTGGCGCCGACCCCACGTGACTGGGAGAAGGGCAGGAGGATGATGATGATGATAGGCAGGATTTAATTGAATTTAAAAAAAATTTAAACTATACTTTATTCTTATTACAAACGATGGCGGTTTAGAAGTACATAAAGAAACTTGAGTTGTAAAAGCATAGAAGATATGTGTAATACACTGCTGTGTTATAACTGGTATCAAATCTAAGTATAATCGTAATAGTTTCATGTGAACCCTGCAATCTATAACAAAAAAAGGGCGAGAGTCAATGAACTCGGGTCGATATTCGCGGGCGCTTACATTGCTGGGTGGCAAACAAGGTATTTATAAAAGTGAATGTTTATAGATTTGTATGTTAAATGCGTTTAGGTACTAAGCCAGAACGTAGATATAAATCGTATCAGAACAATTCACATCTGTCTTCAGGAAGGAGGGTATAAGGGAATACTCACAAGCAACGCCTCGTGTTTCTGATAGAGCCGCGACATCCTCACGATGTCCTGGAGCTCGTCTCCGCCGCGGTGGAAGCACGAGCAGAACAGCGAGTGCATCAGGCGACACATCATGGGGCGGAGCACCCGAACGGATACCGATACATCTGGAATATATATCCGATTTGTAACTATAGTGAGGTCCATGGACAACACAACGTAACCACAACACATTTAGAGATCTGAACTTGAATAATTACTATTGTTGCTCTCCAGAGGAAGCGTCATTTTGCTTTCGCAGAGATAAGCAGGGAATTCTATTGGTGGTAGGATCTCCTGTGAGTCCGTACCACCACCCCACCTATTTCTGCCGTGAAGCAGTAATGCGTTTCGGTTTGAAAGCCGGGGCAGCCGTTGTAACTATACTTGAGATCTTAGAACTTATATCTCAAGGTGGGTGGCACACTTACGTTGTAGATGTCCATGGGCTCCAGTAACCGCTTAACAACAGGTGGTCTATGAGCTCGTCCACCTATCTAAGCAATTAAAAAAAAATAGCTATACCGTGCGACATCAAACACCGGACCACTAAAATATGTTACCTAATACAGGAACTAAATTAACGATAGTCCTCGGCAGCTTTTCCTGAAGATAGTCCAAGGCGTTGGCCAGCTTTCTCGCGTGAGCAGCCGGCGACCAGGATACCGGGTTGATGCAGGCGGCCGAGCAGATATCGTTAGCACCAATGAACATCGTGATCATCTTCCAGTCTTGAGCTATGTCGATGTCGGGGGACGCACGCATCCTGGCCACTATGATCTGAAAACGACGGGAGACATTCGATGGTGAACTTTGAAATGCTATTATTATTAATGTCGGTAATCACAGGACCCACGAGAGGACGAACTGTGGACGATTTAGACATGAAATCTAAACGGAGGCAGATGGGTATCATGGTAAAAGAGTTGACGGGATATCCTTAAAGAGTTTCTCAGAGCGCTCCCCATGGAACCTTTTTTTTATGTTGCTTAGATGGGTGGATGAGCTCAGAGCCCACCTGGTGTTGAGTGGTTACTGGAGCCCATAGACATTTACAACGTAAATGCGCCACCCATCTTGAGATATAAGTTCTAAGGTCTCAAGTATAGTTACAACGGCTGTCCTTTTTTTTTTTTTTTTACAACGGCTGTCCTACCCTTCAAACCGAAACGCATTATTGGTTCACGGCAGAAATAGGCAGGGTGGTGGTACCTACCCGCGCGGACTCACAAGAGGTCCTAACACCAGTAATTACGCAAATTATAATTTTGCAGGTTTGATTTTTATTACACGATGTTATTCCTTCACCGAGGAAGTCAATTGTGAACATTTGTTGAGTACGTATTTCATTGGAAAAATTGGTGCCCGCCTGCGGGATTCGAATACCGGTGCATCGCTTCAACACGAATGCACCGGACGTCTTATTCTTTAGGCCACGACGACTTCAAAAAGCACGATACAAAGCACAGAGGGAGGGACTCGCAGTTTTTCCATAGCTTCAAAACATCCGTGAGATCAGGAGATTATCGACTCTGGATTTATGGGTATGGTGCCTCGTGCTGTAGGCAGCGTCTTGGCAATGACCCTAACGGTAATCACATACCGACAAATGGGTCATAGTCTTCTTAAATCGGCGATTAAAAAGTATTTCGACCCGAATCGTGTAATGTAAAATAATGACTCTTGATCAAAAGACTACTACAGTACAATGTGTATTAGACCATCAGTCGAAGGCGGAATGTCCAATTTAAACTAATCATAGAGTCTAATTTGCAACAGCTGTCTTAATATGAATGAAACTTAGAGTTTGCTCATTCATTTCCAGATCATCGAATTATCAGCCTTGATGCTTCTATAGTAAGACTACAATTTGCAGTTCGCAAAAACCATATTAATCAGTGCTTTGGATTAAGTCTCCTATACGCCAAAAGTATAGATATGATGTACTCGTATCGAGTGACGCGATTATTCCAGGGTTCAAACCCCGCAGGCGGGTACCGATTGTTCTAATGAATTAAATACTTAACACGTTTTCGCTATGATTGAATAACATCATGCAATAAAAAACAAACACGTAATAAAGCGTAATTACTGAATTTAGGCGGTATTGTAAACTTTCGCGTACAGGTACTAGGATTCTGCTTATTTCTGGCGCGAAGAAGTCACCCACCCCAGTTTGATGAGTGAGACAATCGTTATGCAATCAATTTGAAATTTAGAATACTGGTAGGACCTCTTGTGAGTCCGCCCGGGTAGGTACCACCACCCTGCCTATTTTTGCCGTGAAGCAGTAATGCGCTTCGGTTTGAAGGGTGGGGCAGCCATTGTAACTATACTGAGACCTTAGAACTCATATCTCAAGGTATGTGGCGGCATTTACGTTCAAGATGTCTATGGGCTCCGGTAACCAAATAACACCAGGATGTGAGCTCGTCCACCCAATCCAATAAAAAAAATTCACGGTGTAATCTATAGACTTACTTTACATCAGGCGGATCGTGCACACGTCACTCAACTGTGCAATAATAATAACAAAACACAGGTTACGTAACAAATACCTATTATAACGACATAGACTCGACTGAGACTAACTTTGAACCGACGCTAAATGATCTTTTCCGAACAACAACATTAGGAACAGACCATTTAGCTAATACGTACGTCTCATTAGGTGTGACATTGCTTTCGATCGCATCGGGAAACGGTATTTTACTGTCTTCACTTTTGTAGCTTTCAAACTATGAATGGTAGAGGTCGGGCCATCTTACGTAGGACATATTGTATTAGGACGGAATGGTACGGAACCCGGGCTCATACGGGTTGGGATTTGCAAGATTAAACAAACGGTAGGGTGGCTCAATAAGCCATATTTTTAAACGTTACGCGCTGACTGGTAAGTGAGCTCCCGGACTCAGCCTGAGAGAGCTGCTAACACTAGCTCTAGCAAGAGCAGTGCTTCGCTGAATCTACCACCGGATCGGAATCGCAGCCCACTGAGAAGCTCCGACGAGAAACTCAGTGGATTAAGCCACTTGGCGAAAATAGCATCGTTTTACAACTTTGCTATTATAAATATAGTATGGCCATTGACAAATATTACATAGTTTGGCGGATTAGTGGGAACTTTAGTTGATGATATCACTATAAACAGCAAGCTGCAAGTAACAACTAAAATAAATAATAGATTAAAAAACCTAAAAAAATATGCTTTTATAGAAAATCCAACTTCAAAATAGAAAATAAATTTGAATTAAAAAAACTCTAAGAAAAAATTATTTTATTGTAAAAAAAGCGTGGGGTGCATGCTATCAGTAGTTATAAATATTTTATGAACAAATATGAGTAGAAGGGCTATTTTGATAATATCCTGAAAAGCAACTCCCATTTTTTTAGTTTTTTTAGGTTACAAAACAGATTGCAAAAAATCCGCACTAAAAAGGTTTTTATTCAAGTAGAGATTAAGAAGGTTTATAGCGGTTCGCGTTTGAGAAGAGTTTGCAAGAATCTTAAGACTTCCTTTATTTTTTATTGCTTAATCGAAGCCTTGTGAGCCAGCGCGAGAGTTATCACCATTCTCCCAATAAATTAATTCAGACTTCAATGATTGGGTGGTTACACTGTACCAATGTAAGCAATACCTTAGCCTGCTTCAAAGCGTCTTCATCAGAAGCCACAGGGAAGGCCACGTTGAGTTTAGAGTTTTTTGTGATCCATTCTCCAGTTCCCGTGGAGTAACCTTTCAGGTTCGGGTTGAACTCTTTCAGGATGTTGGGTAGCGTCAGGAACTCACGCCATGTTGCGTCACCACCTGAAGTCGAATGAAGACAGTTAGTACACCACGTCACTGATTTAAAACATCGTTTTTTAAATAATACTTATTTAAACTTAATGAGATTATAAGCAGATAGATGAATTGAGAATCGTTTTATCGATAATAAAATTTCTAAGTTATTGTTTTAAGTGTTTAGTAGGTATTGAAGTTGTCTTTGTCTTGTAAAAAAATAAGTTTTTTCACCTTTACAAGAACTAATACAAAGTCTGAATCTGAATCTGCAAGTGCCGTGGTTACAGTCGAAACGTGCACACTAGTCTTATTAATTGTTCATTTATATCTATTTAAATTATATCTTTTTTTAGCCTACCTATCTGCCAGTAGACTTGACTATTCTAGCCTCACCTTGGTTGATGGGCGGAAGAGGATTTACTAACATTTGCCCTAACGAGAGCAGTGCTTCGTTGAACCTACCACCGTATTGGAATCGCGGCCCACTGAGAAGATCTAGCGACAAACTTAGTCGGTTGTGTCTGCGGGTTAAGTTGAACATCGAACTTATTCATTGCATTCGGCGATTTCGACCAGAACAATGACCGGTAGGAAGGATTATTGGTGGCCCGGAGGCCTTTCCAGTTTTACCAAGACAGGTGGGCGAGCAAAGGCTCAGCCGGGGCAGGGGGATATTTGCTAGCAGCTGCTCGAGCGCCTCCAGAGGAGACCCAACAACTCAAGATGCAGCTACTTCGCGATGAATCTACTACTGAATCGGAATCGCGACCCGCTGAGAAAATCCGGCGAGCAACTCAACGGGCTTTTTTTTATTGCTTGGACGAGCTCACAGCCCACCTGCTGTTCAGTGTTTTTTTTATTGCCCTTGTAGACAGACGAGCACACGGCCCACCTGATGGTGAGTGGTTACCGTCGCCCATGGACTTCAGCAATGCCAGGGGCAGAGTCAAGCCGCTGCCTACCGCAACTGGTTACTGGTTACTGGAGCCCATAGACATCTACAACGTAAATGCGCCACCCACCTTGAAATATAAGCTCTAAGGTCTCAGTATAGTTACAGCGGCTGCCCCCCCCCCGCCCTTCAAACCGAAACGCATATACTGCTTCACGGCAGAAATAGGCAGGGTCACGGCAGAATTACGCAACTACTGTAGTCAATAGAGGGCAGGATTCTGGCATTATATAAGTATACCACGACAAATGGCGCGCGTATCGTTTTATCAAATGAGTCTGTATAGCATGGACGGTGTTAATAGAAATTTGTTGTTTATTATGTAAAAGTCTGGCGTAGTAACATCAACACGATGTTGGTTGCGGGAGGTTCATTATAACAATAGATTTAACAATTATTTTTTATTAGCTTTATGGTCACAGTGGATCATATTAAGTTTAACTTATTATAAAAGAGAGCTAGAGATAATCATTTTGAATTAGTTGAAATATAAAATGACTTTTTTGACGTTGTAAGTTCTTTTGGCGCGTTCTAGAAAAGTCTATGTTTTAATACGCACCGATGTAACATGTGTTATGTTTATGAGTAAAATTTGATAATAATAATCGTGAAATTTCGAGAATGTTGAACTGGTAAAAAATTCAATTACGCCAAAGAAGTTACGTCCGTAGATAGAGAGTATATGTAAGGTTTATCTTATTTTAGTGTCTGTTTTATTTTTTCAATAATTTTCAGTTCAACAAAATGTAGTTAATTTTTGATTAATTACGAAAATAAAATGACATCATTGCTTGTTTCATAGCTGGGGCACTATAACTGTTTGACTGAGAACAATTAGCATTTTTGTAATAGTAAGATCATAGATTTTCTTTTTGGTCCTAACTTACCCATGCACCAAGAGACGCCGCGGTACTCTACAAAGGCGCCCAGAGCGAACTCCTCCAGGGCGCCACTGCCAGCCACCAACGAGTCTCCGATAGCAGCCACCACATCAATATCACCAGGTCGGAGTTTGTGCACTGATGTAGGCCGTTCTTTACTTCTGCCCCAGGACAAGGCATCTTCGCATGGAAATGGTGTCGACGGTGGGATAGCGCGTTGGCGTCGAACGTGCGACCTTCTGACTGGATAGCGGACCCTCCACTGGAAAAGGAAATATCAAACTTCATTATTACTTCACCAACGCAACTTACACTCTTCATCATGACTTTCGCCAAAATGCCTGGTTGGTTGAAAAGATTCTCGCAGCGTGTTGTAAGCTGATGGTACTATCAGGTCTCATTTTACAGTACAACGGCTGTCCCATCCTTCAAACCGAAACGGATTACTGCTTAATGGCAGAAATAGGCAGGGTGTTGGTGGTATCTACCCGTGGTAACTCATAAGACGTCCTACCACGCAAGTAATTACGCAAATTATAATTTTGCGGCTTTGGTTTTTACTACACGATGTTATTCCTTCACGGTGGAAGTCAATCGTGAATATTTGTTAAGTACGTATTTCATTACAAAAATTGGCACCCGCCTGCGGGATTCGAACACCGGTGCATCGCCAGATATGAATGAACTGGACGTCTTATCCTTTAGGCCACGACGACCTATAACAAACGAACAATAACTGTGTAAGCTGTATCAGTTGAACAATACCAGATAATTGAATTTCGTCTTCCTCTTTACACAAATATGAATTTTACAAAAAAAAAAAAAAACACCTATCTAAGTTGTAGTCCTGACGGAGTCAAATTCTGGTGGAAATAGGAAGCACCGGGAATATAAAAACTAGTTAGATCGAAAATTGAGATCTGTTTAAAGGACGACAGTACAGTCACTGGCCTGGACTTGTGAATTCTACCTAAAGGTATAAAACATACGGTCTAAATTGGGTAACTAATTTAGAATAACGGGCTTTTTACCATTATAGACGACAATAAAATCTCCGACTTGCGAATTCGTTTAAAATTTCATACATAAGCGATTGCATGCAGCAGAGATGCGAATGTTACGATGTATGTGTGGAGTAACGAGAATGGATAGAATACGGAATGAGTATGTTAGAGGAAGTCTGAAAGTGGCACCTGTGGCAGAGAAGCTGAGAAGTGCGCGTTAGGGATGGTATGGACATGTGATGAGACGAAATGAAAATGAGGTTGGTAAGAGAATGTTAACTATGAATGTGGAAAGATATAGAGGAAGAGGTAGACCTAAGAAGAAATGAATGGATTGCGTGAAAGACGATATGGGTAAGAGGGGAATAAGCGAAGAAATGGTATATGGTAGAAGAGTATGGAAGCAGAAAATATATTGCGCCAATCCCAGGTGGCTGGGAGAAGGGCAGGATAACAATGACATTGATTAATGAGTTCATGGTCCACCTGTTATGAAGTAGTTATCTGAACCTATATACAAGTGAAGGCCGCCACCCACACCCTTCAACTCGGAACATCTTACAGCTTCATAGCAAAATGAGACAAGACGATAGCACCTATTCGTGCAGACTCTAATACCAGAACATCGTAAATTAAAATGCCTTAATAACCAAGTGATTTCTGGCAAAATTAAACATCCTTTAAAAATCTGTTTAACTACTTAGCAAACATTACTAAGAACAACCCAAAGAATGACGATAGCGGAAAACCACTTAGGATTTCACAATCCGAAGTCTACAGTCCTGCCAGATTGCGCAACTAATCATTATTCGTAAGGAGTCGATGTTACGTGCGTCACGACACCATTACCAGCCCAACGTGCCCTGAAAACTGCGCTCCTTATGAGAACGTGGCAATGAAAACATAACCTTGGTTTATCAACGTTTGTGCAATGTAAATGGTCTTTAATTCATCGTTTTAGCCATCCAAACGTATCATGGATGCGTGGTTGAAGGTTAAAATGGTGTTTTAAATGAGACTACTGTCTTTGTTCAGCCATTGACTTTCAAAACCATTGCTGGCTCTTTTTTTGGGCACAAAACCCACAGTACTGTTTTTTTCAAATTGGAATATTTTTTTTGTAGCCTTACATACGTGTATTGTTTTTGTGTCGGGACGTAGAATGAACAGGCTTTTTCTAGACTAGAGTTTGGATATCTAAATACCACACATTAGATCTGTGGGATGGATATGTGAGAACTAAAGCCATTAAACAATCTCACATGACGGTATCCGTAAAAAATGTGATACATAATTAAACTATGAAAAAAAAAATTATTGCTTAGATGGGTGGACGAGCTCACGACCCGCCACTGTGTTAAGTGGTTAAAGGAGCCCATAGACCTCTACAACGTAAATGCCGCCACCCACCTTGAGATATGAGTTCTAAGGTCTCAGTATAGTTACAACGGCTGTCCTGCCCTTTCAAACCGAAACGCATTACTGCTTCACGGCAGAAATATGCAGGGTGGTGGTACCTACCCGTGCGTACTCACTAGACGTCCTACCACCAGTAAAATTTCCTTCCAGTAGACTAAAATCGGAGGAACATTGTTATAGAAAGTACATAATTATATACATAAGTGTACAAAACAGGGTAAAGATTAACGTCAAAACATTAAATAAAAATAGTAGGCGTAGGAAATAAAATTTATGATTAAATAAAACTCTTGAATAATTATTATACGAGTACTCTTCTATTGATTTTAATGTCAACGACATCAGCCAAGATTCCAAGGTTACGTCAAAGAATCTTTTGTGAGCGGTGATAGACCATTATTACCCAAACAAAGTCAACCGAATTTCTCTCGCAATCAACCCATTCTTCATAATGCAATGCGCATATTATTATGTAGAGCGAAATTACCAACGCAAATACCAGTGGATTTAGAACTGACATTATCGTTTTGAAAGCAAACAAATATTAAGCGTGACCAATATTGTTCATTGATGTAATAGCCTCTTCAGTTTTTGAGCACTTTTGAGGTTTTGAGGTTAAATATTTGGTAATTTATTACGATTCTCCTTTTGGAGGACACGACCTGGAGTTTGTTTTATTAGAATTTTTATGTCCTCAAATCCGACTTTGAGGTTATTTTTTTTTTAATTAAAAAAAGCACAACGACTTTCCTCTATTAATTAGTAATTGCAGACGTTGTCTATTAGAACATTATCAACGTTTGTGAACTAGGATTATGTACTCTGTATCCTATTTGTCGGTAACAAGACAATAGGCATCATAGAAAGACAATTCGCCAAATATCCTTAAAAAAAATACGTAGACACGTAAACATTTAGGCAGCGGCTTGGTTCTGCCCCTGACATTGCTGAAGTCCATGGGCGACGGTAACCACTCACCGTCAGGTGGGCCGTATGCTCGTCTGCCTACAAGGGCAATAAAAAAAAACATAGATATAGTTATAAGGCACTCGGATAAGAAAGTATTGGACTATTTTGAATATCGTTACGTGACAATTACTTTGATGACTACTGATTGCTGGGCTGCGAGTCGTGGGTTCGATTTCCGCGACATCGAACAAACATTCGTTCAAATAACAGGTCTAGCTCACTGAGTTTCTCGCCGGATGTTCGCAGTGGGTCGCGATTACGATCCGGTGGTGGATTCTGCGAAGCACTGCTCTTGCTAGGGCTAATGTTAGTCAATTCTCTAAGGTTGAACCTGTGAGCTCACCTAAACCGGAATAGTCCTTTAGGCTACCGGCGAATAGTAATAAAATAATAGCAGGTCTGTTTACTTTTTACCTAAGTGCTTAATATCAATTTAAACGTATTATAAACACATATATGTATTATATAATATGCATATATATGTATATCAGTCACCAGTTCCCATAGTACAGGAAATCCCAGTTTGAGGCTAGATCACTATGTTTTTCTTGTCCCCTGATTATTATTATTATTAATGGTATTTATTTATTACACTTCATGTAAAATTTATATTGGCGAACTTAATGCTTAACGCATTCTCTGCCTGTCAACCAAAGGTAGTAATAGAGAAATTAATAGTGGTAGGTGCAAAGAAATTTATATTAAATTATAAATACATAAATTAAAAGTACATACATAAAAATATATACATACCATACGTAAGCGTAAATATATATACATATAATAGCTTGTACAGTATGGTATCTCACATAGCAAGACTGTTCTCAACACAGCCCACAGCAAAGGGCTGACGCATTATTTACGCAATTAAACGTAAAGGTCGCAGAGTAAATGAAAATATTAACATTGTTTTTTTTTCTTTCTTCTTAAAATATATTATCAATATTTCTACATTGTTATTGCAAGACCACACTACAGCGCCACTCTTGCGGTCTGAACATGATTGCAGATCTAAGTGCCTCTCCAATACAGTTGATGTATAATGAGTTAAAATAACATCGGAACGGTTACTGTGTAAGACTAAGATTACATTATAGAATTTATGTTCGAAATTATTTCAAACTTGCCCGTGAACTATTAAATTCACTTATTTAGGGTTCCGTAGCAAAACGTGAAAACGCGAATATCTTAAAATATCTCCGCATTCACATGTGTCCCAATCAAACCCTTATTTCTGGGGCTGCGAACTCCACCCACCTATCTATCTGCATTTATAAAGCTGACTGCGATTCGCCATTGTCAGCTTAGAAATATATTGATAGATGGCAAACGATAGACAAACACAATGCGAATCTCCTTTGAGTGACGAGACCAAACACCCGAGATTCAATCGAAATACCAACTATTATATCCGAATCCAGGCTTTAATGCACAAAAGGCATGTTGAATGCGCCAACCCGTGAAAACAAATAAAAACACTGTAATAAAACATCTCGATGGTCGTGACCAGAAAGTTGTAGAATTCGTTTGGACGGACGCTACTTGATTACATAATCAAATGTGGCACATGAATAAACAATTAATTGAGTTACAGAATCGTTATGGCAGTCTGTCATAGGTCGCCAATTAAAATCGCGATCGATGTAGAGTTTAATGCATACTGATCGACCGCGGCAACGCGAAACTTGATTGATAAACCAGTTAGTTGATGGAGTACTGTAACGAAACTCTGATCAGCCGAGGGGACGTCATAATTGGAGATAAATGGTTAACGCGCTCCCACGCGAGCTATTGTCCGATTATCGTACGATCAGCTTCGTCTCAGCGATAGGCAAACTTTCCGAATAACACCTACGTATAGGCCTCTGGG